AACTAGTATTTAAATTTCCTTGTCAACCAGTAATCAAAGTATCTACAAGTATCACATCATGTAATGGCTGAAAGTTTAGCATTTCATCAAACTGCTCTCCTTATTAAACTTACCTGGACTGTAAAAATGAGGAAGGGCATGAGTGACATTAACATAATGTTCTCCTCCTGAGACAGAAATCAAGTCATTTTTCAAATCCAATGTGAATTTTTCCTGTCTTGTTAAGTCTGGACTTCCATTTTCCGGTATTTTACCCATGCCATTCTTCAAAAACAACAAATCACGTTATTATAAAACCTCGACTTTTGGATTAATCTTCTATTTTATCAATCACATATATTTCTTTCATAAATGAAAAATATAATTTACATTGTGTTCCAAAAACCAGTGTCATTTTTAGAATCCTTTTATTTTGGGGCCAGAAGGGCGGTGGTAGAAAATTTATCAATTCGTGCCAGTGGGCGTCAAAATGTAGTGAGAAATGAAAAGACTAAATCTGATTATTTCAGACGGGAAGGGCTCTTCAACTGGGTGACCCAATACTACAATTCAGTGGATTTGTGAAAATACCCCTGCTTGAACAAAATTATGATCATTGCACGACTTACAATTATGGTTTCAGAATGACATAATACATAGATTTATCAAAAACCATAAAACAATTGTAGGCTGATTAATATGAATAGAAGTATTGTAAGATATTCTATATGACACTCTTTAACTATAGATGATTCCAAATAGTTTTAGTTGTTATTTACTTTCCAAAACTTTACAAGAAATACACAACTAATATTTCATATTACCAGGGAAGGGGAGAAAAAAAAGTAAGTTGCAGATAAAAATATTAGCAAAAGGTCTTTTAGAGTAAAACTAATAATGAAGGTTTTGCTATTATACACATCTTCTGTAGTAATTAGTTTTCAAGTTGTAAATATAAGATGGTCTGAAGGTGAAAACGAATCTTCTCTGCTGTCTTGTGGGAAAAATGTGGATCTTGATGCACATCAAATGGCACAATAAACTTTAATTGGTTTGTAGTAAATATGTGCAATTGTAAAAAAGTAGCACAGTGAAATAAGAGTTAAAACACATACTCTTCTGAGTATTTACTAGTGTTTACAGTTGTTCCTGGAGCGTACAAGGATAAATTCATCTGTATTTATTATAAGGTAACTAAAACCATCTTATTATAACACTCCTGTAGTAAAAAGTTTTCTCTCTCTCTCAGATTTTGCTGTATTTTTTATCTTGGACTGAACTTCTGTAGTTTTCAATAGTACTAGCTGAGCGTATCCATTATTAAGGCAAAAACTGGATAAAGGACTATGTTCCCTTTCCTTCTTTTTGTTATTAAATCCCTAACTATCTCATGAGATGATGATTATATACCCTGTTTTGTGGAAGGTAATGATTAATTCATTTAACTGATTCAGTATTTGTGTCTTTAAATTCAAAGCCAAAATTCTATTACAAAAAAAGTGGAAATATCCCCTACTTCAAAGGCTTTTTTTATCCCATTTCTTGGGCAGAGAGCCTCAAAAAAAACAAAAAAAACAGCCCATGTATACTGTCAAAACAGTTTCCAGTTAACATTACTAAAAGTTATATTAATTACGCCAGCCAACACTGAGTGATGCAAGCCAAGTCTACAAAAAAGTGAAAATGTACCCTATTTCAGGGGCTTTTATTATCACTCTTCTTAGGCAAAAATCCTAAAACAAAACAGCCCATGTACACTGTTGGACAGTTTCCAGTAGTATACCAAAAATTATGGTAATTGAGCCAGCTGATGCTGGGTGGTGGATGCTAACACACATATACAGCGCCTTGCAAAAGGCTTCACACCTCCTGTGCTGGTAATCAATTTTAGTTATTTTCTTGTGAAAGACATATAGCCAGAAATATTATATTACAGCATGAGTGGATGGGTTGAGTGTCCATTATTCCTGGCCCGATGCAAATTTCTGGAAATAAGCATACCCTGGGATGTGAGACATGGATTCAGCAAGCCTGGGAGCAGAATAATAAGGACAGATGCTGAACTGCCTCAGTCTGAATCTCCAGTGAATCAGGAAGACCTCTTGGTAAAGAAATAGGGCACTATGAAGATCATAGTAAAGATCACATGTAAAGCTGTGCCTAGGGCAAACTGCAGTAGGGTAAATAGCCAGTCAAATCATCCTGATCATGTTCAAATTGTTTAAAAACACATCCATTCTAGATAGTGACAAATAAAAGATTGAAATTATTCTTAGTGCAAGTACATAACCCTATGAACACTTTGTCTTACAACTTGTAGGACCTAACGTCGCTATTGTTGTATTTCATTCCAAAATAAGACTAGTGGATGAAATTGTTTAAAATTTAACAAGAACGTTCATAAAAGTATGTAGCTTCAGAAAATAAATTTCATTGAGTTTTTCTACTATTTCTAATAACAAGTCATCATATAATGTAGTTATTTGCATTCAAACTCTGAATAGTATATTATCTTACAGTTTTCACATTTCATTTGCATGATTTCTAGAACCTGCTAAACGAATATCAAAAGTTTTTGAGGTAAACATTTATATTTTATTTTCCATTTTCTCTATTATATAACTAAATCTAGTTATTAACATTAACGTACAGTGGAATGAAATGTTTAAAATTAAATAGGTACTTACCTTTTATCTCTTCATTGAATAATCTTAAATATCTTCTTTAGGTCATATGCATAATTTCACATTTTAACCCTTTCACTTTTTAATATGTTATTTTAGTTTCCTATTCTTTATTATTTATGTTGAAAGGTCAAATGGTGCTTGCAGATCATATAACGTTATGATCAGCAGAGATGCCCTTTGACCCTTTCACTTAGTCTATTTTTAATATTTTATTTTAGTTTCCTATTCTTTATTATTTATGTTGAAAGGTCAAATGGTGCTTGCAGATCATATAACGTTATGATCAGCAGAGATGCCCTTTGACCCTTTCACTTAATCTATTTTTAATATTTTATTTTAGTTTCCTATTCTTTATCTTTTATTATTATTTATGTTGAAAGGTCAAATGGTGCTTGCAGGTCATATAACGTTATGATCAGCAGAGATGCTTTAGCCTTTCGGGCAAAACGTCTGCACTTGCCTACTTTCATAAGCCTTCAGCAGCAATGCGACAAGTAGAAAAACTTAAACAATCCTTAGACCTTTTGAAATTTTAAAACACAAGTAATACATAATTAACTGAAACATAGGAGTAAAACCTAAATGCAATTTAACTGTCTATCAAACTAATATGTACAAGGAGAGAAACAATAGTCAAGCATTTAGGACACTGATCTCACCAATAGAATTACCAACGGTTTTCTTGTCATTTGAAAAATAATTTATCACTTACATTTCCTTGTAGACTGGAGAAATTAAATGAGAAATCTGCTCTTTGTATTAAAATACTAAAATACATTAATAGTAAATTGGTTTAAATTTTTGGATGTAACTGTAACTTTTTGTGTCATGCACAGAAAGGTATTTAAAAAGTGTAGCAGTTGTTAAAGGGTTAAGAGAAGTTGTGTCACCCTCCTACTGGTAGAAAGATATTGTTACATCATGATGTCATCATGCATTGGCTCAGTTCACGTTAAACTCATGAATTTTAGGTGGGAATTAGCTCAAGGCTAGTGGCATGCAAGTCTCATAGGCAGACACACAAGGGATCAAACTATTCTGTGTGTGGAGATGAGGTATTATTTCCGAATAATTGATCGGTTAAATGTAAGAAATTAATGAGCCAGATGATGGATAAATTAGGAAGTTCCACTAACTGCCCAGCTCTACTCCTCATAAGTGAAAATATATGCCTTAGTGGTTGAGCTACTATCTAACAAGTATCTGCATTACAATAAAATTATCCTTGATATCAATTAGCAGCCACACCAGGTTTTCAACTATACCTATAAGGCAACTTTGGTAACAACACCCCATAAAAATATGTATGAAAAGGACAACACGACGCAAGAGGTAAGTACTTATTTAATAATACATTTCACTCTAAAATGTGGCATCTGAATATAGTCCTATATCTTTCATCATACTGAACTAAAATTCCAAGAACTAACAGAAAGAACATAAAAAATGTACATCTGTGCACATTACCAGGAAGCCAGTTCATAGTGGTTGACGTGATCAACATCTTCTGGAAGGGAACTCGTGTCAAGAATCAATTCAGCTTGCTGTAGGATAGCATCCGACAGTAGCAACAGAACACAGGTAACTGGTCAACCATCCACCAACAAAGAGAAGAGAATACAATGAGAACTTTACAGTCCTCACCCTCTGGGGTCAGACAGAAAATCAACATCTACATGTTCAAAACCATACCACTTAAAATGAAGACCAATGGAAAAAGGGGCAAAAACCTACATGACATCAAGACAATGACAAAGAATCCACAGAAATGTTCATCCAACAGATTTAGTGATTTTATATGAGGGAAAAGTGTGACTGAAAGCTCAATGTAGAAAAACATAAAACCCAACATCACTAAAGACTGGCTCAGGGTGACAGTGTAAGACTAACATCAGGAACAATGAGAATCACACATAATACAGTTAACAAAATAGGATCATAATAATATCTAGTGGTAAAGAACCAGGGCTTGAAGATAAATTAATGCACAAACAGAAAAGAACCAAAAAGGTACCATAAGAAAACACATTACTGGTAAAGACAATATGTCATTTAGTCAGATAGAATGAAAACAACCTCATAAAATAGAGGAGCATAAGATATATATACATAATGATATTGAACAGTAAACATATGAAACTGTGACATAATAACAAGATTCCATGAATTTGTCCAGAAACAGTATATTAAGCTGTGAATGGATGCACAATTTGGAAATGGAATGCCAACTACCTTAAGTGAATGTCTAGACTCAAACTCAAATAGCATCCAGAAGAGGCAGGCATAATCCACAAGTAGAAGATGATGCCAGAAAATGAAGGGTTATGGAGGTTGTTTACATACAGAGAATTGCTTCTATAGACATCCTTCCAACAGCATTAGATTAGAAACAAACAAGCATCTGAAATGAAGGTTTATGGAGGTTGTTTACATACAGAGAATGGCTTCTATAGAAATCCTTCCAACAGCATTAGATTAGAAACAAACAAGCATCTGAAATGAAGGTTTATGGAGGTTGTTTACATACAGAGAATGGCTTCTATAGAAATGAAGGTTTACGGAGGTTGTTTACATACAGAGAATGGCTTCTATAGAAATCCTTCCAACAGCATTAGATTAGAAACAAACAAGCATCTGAAATGAAGGTTTATGGAGGTTGTTTACATACAGAGAATGGCTTCTATAGAATCCTTCCAACAGCATTAGATTAGAAACAAACAAGCATCTGAAATGAAGGTTTATGGAGGTTGTTTACATACAGAGAATGGCTTCTATAGAAATCCTTCCAACAGCATTAGATTAGAAACAAACAAGCATCTGAATTAATAAGAAGAGACTACATATTTCTGGGAAGGATCTGTAGAAGAAGAGTAATATACTTAATACTGTTGTCAGAACATATGTGCAATTACACAAAGAACCACAAAAATTTCAGTCTGATCAATATAGCACCTGGTAACACATACTACATACAACATGCCAGAAAAACAATGGGTGATAATGCTGCATTCTCTATTCGATTATTCCAAATCTTGGAGACGAAGGAACAGTAAATTACAAAAACAGAAGTTTTCTGAGATAGAGAATCCAAGAACATCAATACCATAAACATGCAATGAATGTACCACAATTTACCACAAGTAAAATGAAAATTTTTCACGAAAAATGGAGTACACTGATTGATCACAACTGCTCAAAATGTAAGGTTAACATTCTAGTACAGAATATCATGAAACTTACAAGTGAAATGCAACGAAAAGGACATGAACAGCTCAGTGAAGACCTATGTATATA